CTAAACCGCGATTATTTTTAATTCTAACCGAATCACAAGTACATTAAAAGGTTACTTATGAGTATTACAGTGATACTGATAGTCTAGATATCGGGTTTATAGCAAAATAGGTACAATCTATATGTACAATAAATTGATGGTACTTATTCCGCTTATAAGTCAAAAACCGCTGGACTGATTTTTAAAATTCTCACGAATTCGAAATGGCCTCTTGCCAAAAAAGTATAAAATTTAAGAAAAATAACGCAAAATTATGCCAATAAAAAAGTGAATATTTTGTCAACATTTTTATCGCATGCGATTTTTTCATACTTCATTTACACTTTTGATTTGTACAATTTTTAATATTTTTACACCCTGCAATACTATGTGTTGAGAGAATCATATTCAGGTCGCATAGAGCTAGGGTCAGAATAGAAGCTTATTGTTTTGAAGATGTATAATGGACCAACAAATTTAAATTTTCCTGATTTTGCAGTCCCTCTACGGGTCACAATTAAAAACCAATCGACACAGAATTTTACATGAAGAGAGAGAGTTAAGTACAAAAGGCATCAACCAAAATGTGATTTTAAAATATCTGAATTCTTGGCTTTTAGTTTGAGTTAGACTTTTGATGTTTTTTGGAAGACAAATTAGAATTTTGTGATAAACACATTTGTACTATATTTTGACTTGTTACGATCCGGTTTAATGAAAGTTTATAACCATACGTGACCAAAAAACTCCTTTGGTGTCTCATTTTTTAAGTGTAATTGAGTCGACTTCACTCTACTTGTGTTTTTTAAATAATCTTACACGTTTATAAGAATTTGAATATCAATTTAATACATGTATTTTAAATGTCAACGATTGATTTTTTAAGACAAATTCAACATCGATTGTGTGTTTACGTATTTAATTTATGTTCATATCTCATATATTATGTCTCAGGTGTAAATCATTGATGTTAGTAACCACAAGTGGTTTATGAAAATACTGAAGGTAAATATGCATTTATATCAGCGCTGTTTAATAAAAATATACATTGAACAATAACCTGACATTCGCATATAATTATGGAACAGAATATTGGACAATTTTCCGAAATTTTATACAAGGTCCGCCATTTAAAGTTGTTTTTTTAGCTACTGCTTATTTCGTGAATGGTGGCACTTAGATCTTATCTGATTTTAAATATAGTTAATTTCATCCTTCCGCTGAACGAATATGGTTGTGTGTTAGCTTGAACAACAACAATCCAGAGACAATTGACGTTTTAAAGAACAACATTCGTGAAGCCATTGGTGGAATACTTCTGCACAAAATCGATAATATGCTTACATATGGGACCGATCGTTTAGTGGCCTGCAGAGGCAGTCATTTGAATAAAATGATTTTCCATTATTAAGTAAAGATTTTACTATTTTCAAATAAAAAAAAAAAAAAAAATTAAATAAAATAAAAACGATTTTGAGAATATATTCCGTCGTTTTTAAAGCAATAAAACATATTTCGTAGACCAATTATATACTACCCAACTGTAATTATTAAATTTTACATTCCGTAAAATTAAAAACAAGCAAGCAAAGGCTATTGTCGTGCGGGGCCGACCATGTGATACCCTACAACACTGCAATATGTGAGAACACCCCTTATGTCCAAATCCATTTTGGAAGATTTCGCTTTTGAAATTATGTCACAGAGCACTGCCCGATATTACCCTTAGCATTTTGACCAGGGACATTTTCCCAATATTTATGCACTCCGTCGTGCTGTTAGTTTTTGTGGTCCATTTTACGGCTAAATAAAATCCAATGGTCATCCAAAATGCCAGAATTCTTCCCTGTACTTAACTATCTTCTCAGGCGTGTCGATTGGCTTCAATTGTCTGATCAGGATTTTTTTTTCTGTTTTTGGTTCATTTGAACCCCCCAATATTTTGCGATCATCTCCAAAAGCAAGAGGCCCCTCTGTGTCTCCAAATTTAGACTGATCTATATGATTTGCTTGTCTACGATATTTGGCTATATTCGTCAACGAAATCAATTTCGAATATCGCCTGTAAGTAATGTTGGTATGTTTTCACACAAAGGTAATGGTCCATTCTACCCGCTGTCTTAAATTCTAACTTCATGTGAGATTTCGTGTCCTTTGGTTTCTATTTGTGACTTTTATAACGGCTGCAAAATCAGGAACATTTTGAGTTGCTGGTTCATTTCAACCCCTAATTATATTGCGGACATCTTAGAAAACAATAGGCTTAGCCCTTCTTAGCCTAACCCTACCTTTGTGAAAAATTTCATGAGGATCGAACGATAATTTAAATCTGTATATAAATAATAACAGCCTGTGTTGTAAAGTGCAAAAATATTACAAAATGTATACTTCAATATTAAAAGTCAAACTGAAAAAATCGCATGCGATAAAAAATATGAAAAAATAAAAAATGTCACAAAATATTACAAAATCAATATTAACATCATTAGTGGTATCTTTTTATGCGATTTTTTTAGATTTTATACTTTTATGCCAAAAGGGCATTCTGAATTGACAAAATTTGTCAAAATCGCTCCAGCCATTCTGGAGATATAAGCATTCTAGCTAACATCCCCTTCCTCCGTAAATATACATTGTATATAATTCTCCATATATATCCAATATTTTTACTATCGGCATCTACGAACGGTTAGAATTGGCCTGTTCGTCTATTTGTGATTTCGCCGCAGTAAAAATATTCGCGGTTTAATAGAAAATTTGACTTTTATTTATCACAAATGCTATGGCCTATTTTAGCTACTAAATATTACCCGATGACCATCAATATTGGAAGGCTTCTTCCCAGCCCAAAGCTCTAGCCCCATGCTGACTTTCGCTTCGATCGGGCCATAATTGCGACCTGTAGAGTGATTACAAATTAACATGGACAGACGGACGGACGGACATACATAGCTATATCGACTCAGCTCGGCGAGACAGGAAGATCCATATATACTTTACTATGTGGGAAATCAATATTTCGTGGTGTTACATAATTTTTGGCCCAATCAAACTTATAAAACCCCCCAATACATAGTGTTGTAGGGCATAAAAATATTGATTTGAATTGAAAGTTCGAATTTACATAAGCGGTTTGCGACTTCATTTCAAAATAAGAACCAGTAAGGAAAAGTCAAAAGTCGGGCGGGGCCAACAATATGTTACCCTACACCACTATGCTTATTTAGTAGACCTCTCTTAAGGTAGATCATATCACCTATCAACATTTAGCTTTAGAGCAGTTATAGGTTGGTTTCAGTGGGAATTAATAGATGGGATTTTATTAATTTGACGGACATTTTAATCTTTTATATCAAATAACATTGCTATAGAGATTTGATTAAAAAATATGTATCGGAGCCGAGTCAAATGGAAACGTACGTCTCGAAATTTTCTCCATTTGGGCTTATATAAGAAATTATTTGCACCATAAAGCTGAATTCGAAATAAGGATATATGGGAGCTATATCCAAATCTTAGTCATTCAAGATAAAATTTGGCAAGGGTATTTCCGAGCTCTATATGATATGTGGAATTAAATATCATTTCTGTGGAGTGCTTATTACGAACGTGAACCAAATCAGATGAAACATATATATCGGAGATATATCTGTACCGATTTTGAAGTACTTACTTCTAAACTGAATTCGGTAGGTTGTACAAAAATTCAGGTTATTTGGACTGATGTTAGCCATTTGGTGCACAGTTAACTCGAAATCGGTTGAAGTTATATGGGAGCTTTATCAAAATCTGAACCGATCTTGATACAATTTGGCACAGGTAGTTCCAGGCTATATCTGATATCTGATACCAAACGTCATTCTTGTGGGGTACATATTACGAATGTGGGCGACTTAAACACCAAATCGGATGAAACCTATATATGGGAGCTATAGCTATACCTGAAAAGATTTTCGCCCAATTCGATGTACTTGCTTCTAGATTGAATTCGGTTAGAACTTTTCGACTGATATTGTCAGTTTGGTGCACAATTAACCAGAAATCTGTTGAAGATATATATACGAGCTATATCCAAATCTGAACCGATCTCGATAAAATTTGGCAGAGGTATTTCTGGGCTCTATTTGTTATCTGGTACTAAATATCATTGTTGTCCAATGCATATTACGAATGTGAGGGACTTAAACACCAAATCGAATGAAATATATATATATGGGAGCTATTTCAATCGGATAATAAATGCGACCTGCATTTCGTTCACAAGAATACATGGATGGACGGACTTACGGACTGACAAGCATAAATCGACTGGGAAAGTGATTCTATGAATATCCTCAAAAGTAACTATTGGTCTACCTCGCTTTGGTGTGGGGTATAATACAACAAAATAAATGTACTAAAATCACTTCTCCTTATAATTCATGATCTATGTAAGTGAAATAAAAAGTTTTCAGAATAAGAAATTGAAATTTCATTAAGAAAAAATTTCATTGCATGATTTCTATTAACATTTCTTAGCTTAGCTTCGGTTATCAGGAATGAACTCCCACTTGTGTTCAATATTTGTTTGTAGTGTACCTCATGTATCCATACTTTTTTTCTTTATTATTATTTTATTTTTTTTTTTTTTTTCAATTATATTAACACGAAATTGACAAACCAAAATAAAAAAATCCTCTCAACACAAATTTCATTTCATGTAATAAACTTCAAAAATGTTGAACAAAACGTTTTGCATATTTTATGCAGGAATGCCATGTAACAGAACGCTAATACATCATCATAATTGGCCATGTACTCTATACATATGTAATTTGAGTAAATGTCGTTGGCGTTTTTATTTCGCTTTCATTTTTTCTTCCATTCTCATGTCAGTCAAACATATTTATGCAAAAATGTTGGATTTTTTTTTTTTTGTTATTTTTATTGTTAATATTTGTGCATTTTTGTGCCGTTGGAATTTTTGTGGATGCGTGTGCCAGATAGAGAGAGGGTAAGGGGTGGGGGTGTGTGTGCACGATTCAATCATCATCATCATCATTTACATACCGTTGCGGTACCTTACTACGTTTAGTTTCACGTACTGATCCCTGTGGTCCCAGGCGTTGTTGCGGTTGTTGAACACTTGTGCCTGCGGTTATTGTAGCTATGCCACGCAACGATGTGCCTAGTTCACGGCGCTCATGTATAATGGCCGACTGTGATTGTATGGCATAATCAAGTCCCGGTAATTCCAATGAAGCTATCGGATGTATACGTGTTAGGGACAAGGTACTTTCCAAAACGGTACTAAGTACGGGGGCACTGCGTAAGGATCTTAAACTACCGCGGCGACTAAACGGTTCCTGTTTATACATTTGTGGAGGGGGGCGGCGCACAAACAACGACACGTTACCAGAAATGTTTCCTCTTGTTTTTTCACACTTTTTTTGTTGTTGTTGTTGCTTTTTGGTTTTGGGTGGAATTTGAAATTTTAATAACCGTGTTGTTGTGTTTTTAAGGGAAAATCTTTGATTTCCCCTTTTTTCTGGAATGATTTTACAAGTCACGTTATGTTGCGTGGTCAGTTATTCTTTTCTTTTTTTGGTTTATTGTTGTGTTCTTTTTGTGAATTGTTTCCTCTTTTTGTTGTTGTTTTTTTTTTTTTTTTTGCTTTGTTTTGTTAAATCATTAACGAGTTTGAATGTTGTAATTATTAAATTTGTTCTGCCTTTTTTGATTTGATATGGCGTTTTGTGTTACGCGTGCTATAATGAAATTAACGCTTTCTATTTAACTGTCCCCCGTTGTGTTTTTGTGGTGACCGAAATAGACCCCCTCGCCCCAGGGAGCAGTTTACTAAATTTCCTGAAACAGTTCAGCGAGGTTATGGGGAGTGGGGATGGAAGTTTCTATACATACATGCACTGTAGTGGTGTTTGGTTTACGTCAGGATAATTGTATTAACTTGTTCGTTACTTGTGGTCATTGTAGTAACAACTTTATGACCAATTATACGATATTTATCTTGACACTAACACACCGGCTACAGACACGCACACTTCTGTAGAAGAGGGTTATTCAATAAGAAGTCGAAGTTTTGATATCAAATCAATTTTACAACAAATTTTTATATTGAAATTTCGATTTTTTTTTCATCGAATTTTTCAGATATTTTTATATAGATTTGAAAATTATATTTGAAAAATGTTGCAAAAATTCAGACAAAAAAACAGTAATGAAAAATAAAAAGTCGGGCGGGGCCGACTACATGATACCCTACAGCACAACCCATATTTAGTAGAACTCCCGTAAAAAAATAATTTTTTTGAAGTAGATCACACCTCCTATCAACCTTTGGCTTTAGAGCAGTTATAGTTTGCTATAGAGTAAATTATATCACTTGGAGAAGGATTATCGGAGCCGAGTTGCACAAAATAGAAACGTACGATTAGAAATTCACTCCATATAAGCTGATATTAGCCATTATTTTCACAATAAACCTGAATACGGATTAGGGAAATACATAGGAGCTATATCCATATATCTATATATGCTATAGCAATTGCTGAAACGATTTTCACCAAATTTGAAGTACTTGCTTTTAAGCTGAATTCGGTCGGAGAGCTAAAATTTACTCCATTTGAGCTGATATTATCAATTGGGTTATATCAAAATCTGAAAAATCTGAGCTATATCTAAATCTGAACCGATCTTGATGACATTTGAACCAGGAATTTCTGGAATGTATCTGATATCTGGTAACAAATATCATTGTCGTGAAGTGTATATTGCAAATGTGGAGATTTAAACAGCAAATCGGTTGAAACATATATATGGGAGCTATGGCTATAGCTGAACCGATTGGTCGTGCCAAAATCCAGGTCATTTGGTCTGATTTTGGCTGTTTGGTGCACAATTACCCGAAATCGGTTGAGAATATATATGGGAGCTATATCCAAACCTGAACCGATCTTGATAAAATTTGATGCTCTTATATCAAAGCTGTATCTGATACCAAAGATCATTGTTGAAGAATGCATATATATACGCTTGTGAGGGACTTTAAAATCCAAATCGGATAAAACATATATAACGATGCTATAGCTATATCTGAACCGATTTACACCAAATATGAAGTACTGGTTTTTAGGACGAATTCAGTCGCAATTGTCAATATTCGGTCTATGAGCCATTTTGGTGCACAATAAACCTGATATCCGGTTAAGGTATATATGGGAGATATGTCCTAATCTTAACCAGTCTCCATAAAATTTGACATAATTATTTTCGAGCAGCGTCTAATGTCCGGTTCCAAATGTCTGGTACCAAATTTTTAAGCCATATCTGTATATGAACCAATTTTCTCGGTGGGATGTACCAAAATGCAGGTCATTGGGATTTATATTGGTCATTTGGTGCACAATTAACCAGAAATAGGTTGAAGATATATGGGACCTATATCTAAATCTGATCCGACTATCACCAATTTCAATAGGGTTCGTCCTTGGGCCAAACAAATATTTTTTGGAAAATTACATCTCAATCGGTAATAAATGCGACCTGTATTTTGTTCGCAAGAATGCATGGAAATACGGACGGACAGACGAACAGACATGCATAAATCGACTCAGAAAGTGATTCTATGAAAATCCTCAAAAGTAACTATGGGTCTATCTCGCTTCCTTCTCTATGTTACAAACAAATGCACAAAGACGTAATACCCTTATCAATATGTGGTGTAAGGTATAAAAAGGGATCTGATGAGGGTTTGTGGCTCTTTCCGAACCATGGAATTTGCCTTACCCATTGTAAACATCACCAGTTGTGCACTAATAAATAAGTGCTGTTTATATAAAAACAAAATGGTATTGAGCCTAATATTTTTTTTTGCAACGTCAAAATTCACTACCTTTAAAATGTTCGCTTTTTCTGACGAAGGTCCTTATGTTCGGGTCCTTATGTTATTAATAGCTCAACACGAACGAGAAATGCATTTGGCATATTTACACAGAAAATATTCATGAAAAAACTTAATATGTGTCAGAGATTATTTCGAGGGAAAATTTACTTCGCCAGATCTGGGTATGATTTTTTTCTCTATCAAAATTCTGTTTCCGATTTGAATTTATTTAAAAAATTAATATTTTTATTTGAATTTGTATTTTTTTAAACAATTTGTATTTTCTTTAATACCCTTATTTAATAACCCTCTCCACTTCTTCCGCAGTAATAATTATCAAAACGTTAATAAGAGAAACAAGTGACCGTTTTGTTAAAGCATTTAACTGTAAAATCACGCGATTTACTTGTCAACTACAGCCATCAGTGCTTAATTATTGTGATATAATTTGTCACTTTAGCTATGAAATAGCGGTGTTTGAAACGTAAAGCTTAACGTTTGTTGTGTTCGTAGCTAGATATAATGATTAACTTTAATTGTATATAGACAACACTTTGATTTTGAATTAGACAGTTAACAATTTTATGATATTGAGTGCAAAAATTCTAAGCTAGATAAATATTTTGCTAAACGATAATGTTTTCAGCTATAAATGTAAATACATAAAATGAAAGAAGTTCTAAGTAAGTTCGTAACGTTAGTGAAATTCTCGATAATAACACTGTGCTTAAGAAATAATTATGGGGAAATGTCAGCAGATTATGAAAGTAGAGCGTTTTGAAAGTTTACATCGAAAATTAAACTAACCGTAACCGTAGCAAGCAAAAAAATCTACAAAATTATTTATCATCAGAATCTGCTATAGGTCATAGAAGACGTCAAGAGTCTAAAACCTAAACGTCGGAAATTCATATTTATTAAGTTAGGGTTAAAGCAGTATGTGCGTTTATTGACGCCAAAGAAGCGAAATCTATATTTTTATTCCATATCAAAACATTTAGAAAAAAATTGAGTTTTGTTGCAGAGTGTAAGCAAAATCTTTAATTTGTAGTCTAAAAAGCTTATCAAAGAAATTTTGTTTTGTTTTGTTGTTTGTTTAGCTTTTACACCAACAGGTCTTCTTTCAGTTTGAAAATTTCCGAGGAGGATTTTAGTAAAACTATCGGGCAATGGACCGACATTCAACTATTCCGTCCAAAACTATTTTAACGCCTCCATGGGTAAATCCTAGAAACCAACAGTGGCCTCCATATCAAATTTCTGAATTTCAGCTCCAACCCATCACTAAGTACCAAACATAGTGAGAGTATATATATATATATATATATATATATATATATATATATATATATATATATATCTATATATATATATATATATATATATATATATATATATATATATATATATATATATATATATATATCGATCTTAGGCACCAAGAGAATTGATATCATTTAGTAATTTTCGAACAACTATAGTACTCATTTTGAAAATTTCTGCCCTATCCCTTCACCCCAATACGAAATTTATTCCCATTTAGTGCTTTTCTAAAATTATAGTAAAGATTTCCAAAACCACCTCCATACCTCAATTCTAGATACCAACAAAGACCTGAATATCAAATTTGAGGATTTCAGCCCTAACACATCACAAAATACCAAATTTGGTACCATTACTTTTCGTACAAATATAGGACGCATTTCCAAACCGCCTCCAAATATAAACATAAGATACCACCAGTCATCTAAATATCCAATTTACGAATTTTATCTATATTCCTTTAACCAATACAAATAAAGTACCATTCAGTACTTATCGTATAGTTATAGTACATATTTCCAAAACCACCTCCGTATGTCTAGGCTACACATGAACAGCGACACAAACACCAAATTTCAGAGTCCGAGCTCTAACTGTTAGCCCAATATTAAATTGTGTCAAATATAATACTATTTAGTGTTTTTCGTGTACTTGTAGTACATATTTCCAAACCCATATCTTTATCACTGACCTACCAACAAGGGACCCCAAATTTTCATAATCTATTTTCGTACTTTCCAATTTTGATTCTTATACCAAATTTAAACATTAACCATTAAATGATAACTTTTTAGTACATTTTGTAACCTTAAAGTTCGAATTTCCAAAAACCCTTTTGTACATCAATCCTGCACTCTATCAGCGAGTCTCATTTTAAATGTCAGCATTCTATCTCATTCCGTCTAATAAAAGAGTAACATTTTCGTAACTTTTTATTACGAATTTGACTGTAGTGAATAATTTAAGATCCTAGCTTCAGCTGTTCCAGCTGGGCGTTGATTTCACTACTCTTTGATCTCGAATATCCAACATTTAAAACTTTCAATTAGAGATGGAATTTGGTGAATCCTAAACGTATACATATATCTATAAAACTGATTCGTTTTATGAATGCAATTAAGTTTGTATGTTCCTTGTATACTCCAACACGACTGAACCGATTTTCCTGAAATTGTCACATAATACAGCAATGTCCTGTAGCGTTTAGTAAGTGGAAGAGTCGCCATATCTAATAAATTAAAAAGGCACAACCATTAAATAAGAACTCATAGACTGATTGTTATATAGAAACGTTCACAGTGCATTTTTGTTCTTCAAATCTTCCAAAACTGAAACAACCGGCCATCGACACGGACTAGGTCAGCCACTTTTGAAATAAATAAAAACAAAGCTCAAGCTACAACCGTGATGAGCTGAACATGTGATACCCTCCCGAACTATAATTTTCGGTAAAGATACTGTATATAAAAACCTTAGAGTGGATCCCCTAAGACCTTATGAGCTTTAATCCTGCATATATATGCAAAAGTATTATCTTGTTTTCAGATAAGAGTTGATAAGCTAATAGTGAACCTCCTCTGGATGGTCTAGCCATGGATGAAGGCTGGCGTACTTTGCCTCAATCCAATCATCAAATGTTCATATAAACTTAATGACAATTGTATCGTTTTTTAGGCGGAAATTCTTGCAGCCAAGAAGGTAGCCGAATTTGTGAGTGATAACAATAACATGACCAGTGATAAAATATATCGGCATCAAAGCTATCAAGTCAAGTGCTAGTAAATCAAGAGGCGTGCTTGACTATTAGAAAACTCTTCTCTACATACTTGAATTCATTCAGCTTTGTTATATTTGATACCAGATATCAGATACAGCCTAGAAATAACTGACCCACATTTTATCAAGATTGGTTCAGATTTGGATATATAAAAAAAAATCAGTTTATTCCACTAAACCCACTAAATTAGTCATAATCCTCCGTCCGCATAAGGAAACACATCGTTTTTCGAACTTTATTTGATATTTTTAGTATTATACCTAATTTTTTATGGAAAATCTCTGGCAAAATTGTTCCATATGCATCTATGATATAAAGCCTCATTTTTCTATCGTAACATTTACTTATACTTCCTTTATTTTCCAAATAATAATGTCTTTCGAAAGTGTTTTAAAATTTTTGGAAAAAAAATTAAGGGAATTTTTTACATATTATTGTTTGAATAAAATGGCCATTGGGATACATTGTGAGAAAGAACATTTCTTTCAATAATTAATAAATTAGGGATATATAAATGGATTTTTATAGCTCATGTTTATTAGAAACCATATTAAAAGCTTGTTTATGTAGGTCAAAGGAGAAAGAATGCGAACCTAATTAACCATGTGTGTTTTCTTTTTCAAGATTTTAATTTGTTATTTATGTAAACAACAAAAGTAAAAACAAAACATGCATAGAAATGGTTCGGAATTACTTTTTTCGACATACATAAACATAACGTAAATGTTTGAAAACCCAATCTCGTCAAAACGCAGTTTATTTCCTTACCCCTGGGGTGTATCCAAATTTCAACTCCGCAGAATCTTTTTTTACACCATTGGTAGAAACCCAACATCAGTAGAATTAAACCTTATTATTTTGAACTATCAAAATATTCCAATAAAATCACAAATCGAATCGTATGTGAAATGCTCAAATATTAAGAATATGTGTGATGTATCAAATGAAATACACAAAAATTGGAAATCTGAAATATGTCAAATTATATATCTACATCAACGCCATGTCGACGATAACAGATCTCTCTAGAATATGTCTCAGTGCTGAAAAACATAATACGGATTTCCATATAAAAATCTAGATGAAATGGTAACAAGTTAGTTTATTGGTGATATTGGCGCGTATGATTTATTTTCACGTGTAACAAACTACAGTAACACTCATACGCTACGGTGTTCACTAATATGTTAACAACATAGGTATTGCTATTTGCAATTTTGCAAATATCTCCACTAAAACTTTCACTGAAACAAAATGTTATATATACAAGAAAACTATATATATATAGAAAATGAAAACTACATACTTGTGAAATGTTTTCCACTCTAGTAACTATGGTTTTTATGTTTCCGAAATGCAGCTGGTAGATATATATGAGTGTTGAACGATGGCGTTTCTCTTCTCCCGAAGTTTTCCGCTGTGATATCTTCTGCTCTGATCCTAGTTTGGTTTTTGTTTGCTTCGTTTCTTTGTTTCCTAATTCCTTGTAGTCTTTTGGAGTAATTCGTTTTCTCTTTGCTCTCTCTTTCTCTCTCTTCAAATCACTTTGTGTTTGTGCGTTTCGATGATTAGTTGATGAGTTTAAAGATGAAGTCAAATTTCTCTGGCTGTGTGGATGTGTTTAGCGCTCTCTCACTACTCTCACTCTTATGGCTGTTGGACTGATTCACGGGGGGTCGTCAGTCCGGGGTGATGATTATGGGTTGTTGGTGTTGTGATGCCACCAAATGCCATCTACTACTTGCCCCACTGTCTTTCCACTTTCCACAAATAGGTCGCCGGCTAAACGTGGCGTACCGTAACGTTTGAACGACGGAACGAACGTTTTCGTTTCGATATTCTCAGTGTATTCTTAAAATCATGACGATAATGATTTATGGCTACTTTTGCTGGCTCGTATTGCAGGTTGAAGTGATTTTGTGCTTCAGTTCAGTTCGTTTCTGTTTCAGTTTCCCTTATTTTAAGGTTAAATGGAAAATATACATGTGTATGTTTCTATGTTTGCAAGTATGTTTTTTTTTACGTACAATGTATGTGAATGGATTAGTAGTAGTCGAGGTGGTGGTGGTAGTGGTAGTATTTGGTTATTGAGAGTATAAAAAACAATGACGCTAAAGTAATTGATATTGTGTCGTCGATGTTGTGAAGTATTGGCGAGTCTCTGTCTACAGAGTTTTATTGATGGTTTTCTTTTGTCGTTCCGTCTGCCTCTTCTTCTTCGTTCGGATTTCAACTAATCGTGCATTGTAATGTTGTGGTCATATAATACAAATGCTTTTCTTTGGGTTTTTTTCTAAAAACACAAGTACACACGCACAATCTCTGCAAGGATGATGATGGCTCTTACAAGTTATATGCTTCTTATCGGTCTTTGTTTGTTCTGAGAGTATAAAAAAGTTTTGAGTTTTGTAACTTGAGTATGATTCAAGGGGGTAGGAAGATCGATGTTTGCGTTATTTTTTCTGCTTTTCTTAATCTTAAAATATTTGCTTTCAATGTCTTGCATGTGATTCGCTGTATGCGTCTTCGTAATCGTCGTTTTATGTTTGACTGTAGCAGTCTTTTATTTCAGAGATTTATCGCAAATGCGACAGATGAATGATAAATTGTAGCGACTCTTGGATGACTATTGTTTTCTTTCAACGTCTTGCGAGTAGTCGCCTTTGTTTGAGTTTCTTCGATTTGACCACAGAGAGTATGGCCAATTATACGCACTATTAATTTTTTCTGGCTTTAATGTATTTTGTTACTTTTAACTGGCATTTGGAATTGAATTACATTTATTGAGGGTTTGTTTTTCACTTCGTATTTAAACCGTTCAATTCTCTTTTGTGTTGTCTCCCAATCATATGGGCAGCCACATTATACTGCCAGATTTAAAAACAATCCATAGAAACGTATTTTGCCAACGAGTCCAATCCATTTTGACATATATAGAAAGTAATTTTCGAATTCGATATTTTGTTTACTTTCAGACGTTTCCACGTTCTATCGATAATGATTATAATGATGTCTAATGTATTCTTGTAATTATAGCGTAGTGTGTCTGTGATCGATTTGAGAACAAAAATGAAAATTATGTCCTTTTTGTTACTTCAGTTGCTTTGCCAGTTGCTATCCTCTTCGATATAGTCCTGCACAAGCCAACACATTTTTCTTGTGTTAACAGTCTATTCAGCTGTCCACCATTTTTGGTTGTTCTGCAAGTAGAAAAAAGAGGATATTTTATTTTTCTTTCTTTGTTATCGAAATTTTATACAAAAAGATATTTAGAATAAATATTTAACAATTTTTTTAGCCGATAGATTTAGTGATTAGTTATTTTGTCTTCCTGCATAGAAAAATCATGTGTCACTCTTAAAAATTATTAAAAAATAAAAATGTAAAATAAAATGTAAGGAAAAAACTTTAATTACATGTAGGTTATTATTAAAATTTAATTAATTAAAAATTAAATTAATTAATTAATGTTAAATGTTTATTGTTAAAGTTATTTTACCCATTTTATTTCAAATATCAGACCTGAAACCTGAAATCGGGTTAAGAATATATATAGTAGCTATGTCCGAATCTTAGCCGATCTCGATAAAATTTGGCAAAGGTATTTCTGAGCTCTATAAGATATCTGGTACGGAATACTATAGCTGGAGAGTGCATATGACGAAAGTGAGGGATTTAAACATTAAATCGGATGAAACATATAGTATTTTATAGCTATAGCTATATCTGAACCGATTTTCGCCATGTTTGACATATTGTTTCTGAATATAATCAGTCGGATTTGCCCAAATTCAGACCATTTGGGCTCATATTAACCATTTGGTGCACAAAAAATCTGATAACAGATAAAGATATATATCGGAGCTATATTCTAATCTGATCCGATCTCGATCAAATTTAGCATTGGTATTTCTGGACTGAACCGATTCTCTCCATATCTAAAGTACTTCGCTTAAAGCTGAATTTGATCAGAATTGAAAAATTTCAGTTCGCTTGGGCTAATATTAGTCATTTGGTCCAAAATAAACCTGTAATCGGATGATGGTATATATGGGAGCCATATCCAAATCTACACCGACCTTGATAAAATATGGCAGATTTATTGCAGAGCTGTATGTGATATCTGTTACGAAATATCATTTTTAGGGTGCATATCACGAATGTGAGGGACTTAAACACCAAATCGGATGAAATATATACAGGGTGAGATAAAAAACTGAAACAAAGTCAAACTCCATAATTTTTAATTTTTCCTTACCTTTTATTGAATGGAAGCAAAAAAATCTCGGAAATAGCATAAAAATTTAGAATAAGTTTAGATTGGTCACCTTTGGCACGAATTATGGCCTTCAAACGGTCAATAAAACCATCACACGCTGCCCAAATGTTGCTCTGCGGTACTCTGGCTCATTTCCGGCAAAGCGCTTGCTTGAGGTAATTGACACTTTGGTATTTTTTAGTGCCAACCTTGCTTTCCAAAATACTCCAGACACAATAGTCCAACGGATTGGTATTCGGAGATTTTGGTGGCCATTGTGCGCTGGAAATGAAGCGAGGAACCTCATTTTGTAACCATTCTTGGGTGACGCGTGCTTAGTGCTTAGTGCGATAGTGCTGAGTCCAGTTGGAATGTCCAAGGTCTGCGGCCAACATGTTTCCTTGCCTAAGGCTCTAATACACCCCTTCAGAATATTTTCTCGATAATATTCGGCATATATTGTGATGCCACGGTCGATTAATACGAGCGGAGAGCGACCATCGGCTGTTATGGTGGCCCACACCATCACCATGGCCGGCGCTTGAATTCCTGTGGCCAACCGAAGACGCACATTTTCAGCTGACTTCTTTGGCAGGTAAACTCGATCACTTTGTTTGTTTACAAACTGCTGGACAATGAATGTTTTCTCATCGGAAAAAAAAAAAAAACAAATTCGGCAGTTCACCACTTTCGCTCAGCTCTTTTGAGTTTATTTTCTTTCTGTTGCGATGTAGCACTTTTTAGAGTTTCAATGGCTTTACCCCGAGCTCATTTTTCAATAGTTGCCAAATGGAATATTGCGAAATGTTCAGCTCACGAGCCATTTTTCGGTCACTGCTACGCGGGTTTCGATCAAGTCGCTTCTTTACTGTTCACTTTTATACCGAATATTGTTAGGTACAGTTATATGGATATATATGAAAATCTGGGCTTATTTGGATTATTATCTATCGTCAACCATCAAAGGCCATTCGAAGACGTGGACCTGCAAAGGTAATATTTTGCCCTAGGGTGTAGTACCCATTGCTAACTCTAAATATGAAACTTGGAAACATGCCAATGAAAACTGTGATACAAATCACCAAAATGCCGAATGTCTAGAGGTACTGTTATGTGAGGACTCTACCGAAAATTGAACCCATGTGAAGTTTTCTCTGCAAGGATATTTCCGACATACTGGCAATACAAATTGCTAGTTTAAACCAAATTCGGTTTAAAATTGTGACAAAAAATAACCGAAGCACCTTAAATCTATATGACCCACATAAACAATATTTTTTCATCTAAGAATTTTAATAGACGAACGAATATGGCAAACAAGACATCGAATCTTATGCTGATCATGTATACATATACTTTGTGGGTTTAAAAAAGCCTCCAATGCTTTGGAGGAAGAACAAATGGAATGAAAAACTTAATACAACCTTCCACAGTAGGTATGATTAGGCATAAATTGTGGTTGGGAAATTCAGAGTAACCTTAATATTGAAGCAGACACCTAAAAATACCAAAAAAAAAATCTATCGATGAAAACACATTTAAAGATAATCCGAAAAATCAGTTTTCGGATTATTTTAGTGAAAATTGTGGCAGAAACCTTCAAAATGTCGAAAATCAGGAAGTGCTCTACATGGTGGCTAGAGAAAACACTGGTCCATATAGCGAATTTTCGTGTAAGGAGAATGTGTAAATAATAAGAAGCCGAAATATGCATTTCAGGAGATTCTGTGCGGGACTATATCGAAATTTGCACCAATAATTCTTATTTTCAATTTCATTTACCATAGACTTATATCAAATATTTCAGACCTCTACATAAAATAATGTGGACTACAATTTGATTTCTACAAACAAGATAAAAAAAAACATGCGAATAAATTAAATATTTTGGGAGAATATTTGGAGGTATTGTAGCCGGAATGACAAAATTAGTAAAGCCCCATCTTACAATTGAGGTGATACAAATTAAAAAAAAAAACGTCCCAGATTTAGTTGATTTTAATAAATGAAACAGATGTAATTAATTGTTCGTTTTTGTAAATAAACCATTTAATATGTCACGAAATTATTGCCCCATTTAACAATCCTCCATTTGAAAAAAATAATACCAATTTTTTAAGATAGCAATCTAACTTATTTTTTTCCATTAGCAATCTAACTTATTTTTTTCCAATTTGATTATAAAACATTAATATTATGTCACGTGTAATTATGTTAAAACCTCATTAGCCACAAATTAAATTAATATATTATAATATATAAATGTGTTTTTGTTGTTATACTTGTACTGTGGAATGCCTTAATTAAAGTTGTACATGTGTGTGAGTGTGCGTGTGCCAGGACACAGCAAAATAACGTTCGATATCGATAAATATGAACTACAACACGCAGGTCGGCCATCATATAACGGAAGCTAGCTTTAGTTCAACAGAGCGTTAAATTAATTGATCCATAACAATTAAAAAGGACATGGGTCGAGGAGGTGATGGTGGTAGTGGCAGTGGCATAACAGCATGGCAGTGAAGCGTGAAAAGAAAAATTCCAGGGTCAATGTTTGACCCAACCATTTATAAGTGAAATCCTACAATGAATTAATCAAATTGAAAAGAAGTAATTTAACATTGAATGGGATTTTTTTTGTTGGGGGGAGGGATATGACAAAGTAGTACATTAGTAGTATTAGTGAGCATTTAATTATCCAGGATCAAGCTCTAATTTTCAACAATATTTTTAGGGGCCAAACATTTATTTCGAGAATGCCAAGAAAGCTACCTTTAAAGAAAATCAATTTAGAGAAATTTTCAATGATTTTTTTTAAAAGTTATTCAGGGATCAGATGTGTATAAAAAAAGTGGATTTTTAAGAACATTTTTTCAAGGACCTTAAGAGAAACTTTGATTTTGAAGGATAATTCCACAAGGACTATCATACCATCAACGTAGAATTTTGGGAACATTGTTTATGGATCCAAAGTGGATTTTTAAAAATATTTTTCCAAGGATCAAACGTAGATTTTTAAAAATATTTTTCCAAGGATCAAACGTAGATTTTTTAGAATATTTTTCCAAGGATCAAACGTAGATTTTTAAAAATATTTTTGAAGGGTCAAAAAATTTATTCGAGTATAAAATTTTGATTTTTTAGGAACATTTTTTTGCGGATCAAAGATCTTTTTTGCAGGTATTAAATGAAGAATTTTAAGAATATTTTTTCAAGAATCAAAGAAATTTTTTTAAAGATGATACTTGATGTTTATACCTTCAGCCATATGACTAGAGAGGGGATATATATTATTTTAGATTTTTAAAAAATATTTTTTAACGGTCAACAAATTTATTCAAGCTTAAAATTTTGATTTTTAGGAATATTTTTTTTTTTTTTTTTTTGAGGATCAACGATTATTTTGCAAGTATCAAATGTAGAATTTTAAGAATATTTTTTCAAGGATCAAAGCCTATTTTTTCAAAGATGAAACTTGATTTTTATACCCCCAATCATATGGCTAGAGAGGGTATATATCATGTGATGCGGTCAAAACGTGCTACATCGAATTTATGGTTTTAGGCCCTAGGTCTATTTGATCCGTTTCAGGGTATTTGGAGTCGATCTGACGATGTCCGTTCGTTCGTTTGTCGAATTCGATCTGGTCCAACCTTGGTACATCGTAATATTATTGTCAAACTTAAATCGAGTTCGGATATGGACAATATCGGTTCACTCCTTCTGGTACGTCCCTCACGAAAGTTCCACGTTTTCAAAAAAATATTTTTCTCTGCACGCTAAGATAAAGGATAATCCGATTTTGCTCTAACTTTTCAAGTCCTAATATTAGTGTTAGTTCTAGGTCAGGTGCAAAAATGGTAATATAGGTCCATCAAGTGCCTCTCCCACAAATGGACAACATTTTGAATAATTTTAATTCTTCTAAAATGTGATTTAAATTTCCGATTGTCTTTAAATTACACACATCACAAAATTTTTATTAACTCAAAACCTGGTGAGAAGATGGGATATAACGGCCCACTCCTTCTGGTACCTCCCCCACAAAGGGTCAACATTTGGAATATCCATGAAGCTCATAAAATGCGAAGCTAACATCAGATTCCACTCAGACTTGGCACATCTCAATATTTTTATCAACACTAGATCTGTTATAAGGATGATAGAGATCGGTTTATTCCTTCTGGTACCTCCCCGACAAAGGCTCAATGTTTTAAGTAACCAAAACAATTATAAAATCCGAAATAAGCATCCGGGTTTCTTCATATTTCACAAATCCCATTATTTCCACTAATACAATATCTGCTGTGAAGATGGGATATATCGGTCCACTCTTTCGGGTACCTCCCACACAAAGGGCCACAATTTTGCATATCCATGAAGCTCATAAGACGCGAAGCTAACGCCTGACTTCACTCAGGCCTGCCACATCTCAATATTTCTATCAACACAAGATCTGTTATAAAAATGGAAGAGATCAGTCCCTTCCTTCTAGTACCTCCCCTACAAAGGGTCAATATTTTGAATAACCAAAACAATTTTAAAATCCAAAATAAGCTGGGGTAGGTTCAGCGGGGGCCAGAGTCGTCACAAAAATTTATTTGTTAGGACATAAAGAGAGAGAGAGAGCGAAGCAAAAATATTTTCTTAAAACGTTATAAATTTATTTCCTTAAATAACACTAAACACTACACTACACACAATAAAATCACGTTCAGAACGTTTTACGAAGAACACTAAATCACAAAGTTCAGTCGAAATGTTAATAAACGGGTAGCAGTGGTGGCAGCTTGGCACAGCGGCGGCCCGATGAATAGGCGAGCGACGAATAGAGTGGCGGCAGCTTGGCACAGCGGCGGCCCGATGAATAGGCGAGCGACGAATAGGGTGGCGGCGGCTTTGGCACAGCGGCGGCCCGATGAATAGGCGAGCGACGAATAGTAGTGGCGGCAGCTTGGCACAGCGGCGGCCCGATGAATAGGCGAGCGACGAATAGGGTGGCGGCGGCTTTGGCACAGCGGCGGCCCGATGAATAGGCGAGCGGCGAATAGGGTGGCGGCAGCTTGGCACAGCGGCGGCCCGATGAATAGGCGAGCGACGAATAGGGTGGCGGCGGCTTTGGCACAGCGGCGGCCCGATGAATAGGCGAGCGACGAATAGTAGTGGCGGCAGCTTGGCACAGCGGCGGCCCGATGAATAGGCGAGCGACGAATAGGGTGGCGGCGGCTTTGGCACAGCGGCGGCCCGATGAATAGGCGAGCGGCGAATAGGGTGGCGGCAGCTTGGCACAGCGGCGGCCCGATGAATAGGCGAGCGACGAATAGGGTGGCGGCGGCTTTGGCACAGCGGCGGCCCGATGAATAGGCGAGCGGCGAATAGGGTGGCGGCGGCTTTGGCACAGCGGCGGCCCGATGAATACGTCAGCGGCGAGTAGTAGTGGCGGCAGCTTGGCACAGCGGCGGCCTGATGAATACGCGCACGACGAATCGGGTGGCGGCAGCTTTGGCACAGCAGCAGCACAATGAGTACGTCAGTCGCCGTCAACGCAGCCCGAAGAATAGGGAGTATTGCTACAGCCCTCACTCGACCCTGCGTTCAGTCGCCGTCAACGCAGCCCGAAGAATAGGGAGTATTGCTACAACCCTCACTTGACCCTGCGTTCAGTCGCCGTCAACGCAGCCCGAAGAATAGGGAGTATTGCTACAACCCTCACTTGACCCTGCGTTCAGTCGCCGTCAACGCAGCCCGAAGAATAGGGAGTATTGCTACAACCCTCACTTGACCCTGCGTTCAGTCGCCGTCAACGCAGCCCGAAGAATAGGGAGTATTGCTACAACCCTCACTTGACCCTGCGTTCAGTCGCCGTCAACGCAGCCCGAAGAATAGGGAGTATTGCTACAACCCTCACTTGACCCTGCGTTCAGTCGCCGTCAACGCAGCCCGAAGAATAGGGAGTATTGCTACAACCCTCACTTGACCCTGCGTTCAGTCGCCGTCAACGCAGCCCGAAGAATAGGGAGTATTGCTACAACCCTCACTTGACCCTGCGTTCAGTCGCCGTCAACGCAGCCCGAAGAATAGGGAGTATTGCTACAACCCTCACTTGACCCTGCGTTCAGTCCAGTCACCACAAATAGTCAAGGCTTATTGTTTGGCTTACTAAGACTCAATTCAACCGAGGTTGCGCGCCTTTTCTTCCTCCCAATCACACTTGACTTACCAGCCATCAACAGAAGACTGATCCCGATTGTGTGAAATGCGTCTCCTTTTATACCTTTTTGGCTGGACAACGATTGTTGTTTTCTCATGACAGCAGCTGATCCCAATCTGACAGTTTTGCGTAGTTCCGCCATTTGCCACCAGGGGTTCCAATGTTGTATTTTAAGTATACTTCTTTCTACTAGGGGACAATAATAATGTACCCCAAAAACGAAAGCATGACTTTTGGGCGTTACATGGCATCTCTTCCTCCCTCTGATTTTTGATTCCTTGATTTGCTTTCTCTATTGCTATTGGGTTTCAATAGCCAGGAAGCCCTAGGGTGTTATGTAACCTTTTATTTCTCCGACATGGGCACTTTGGTTCGACTATATCTCGGTCGAATAGGAAGGTATGTTAGAGACCAATTGCAGAAGTTCGGAGAGATACCTTCACTACCCCGTCTGCTGATATTATTATGCGGTACTGCTTGCCATCTTGTTTAACAATTCGCTTCAGTTTGTGTCCCTTTTTCCAATTGTTTTTAAACTTCTCGATACGGATTTGTAGGTTTTCGGGATAATTTGGCAGTTCGAGAAATGTGTTATCGTTCACGGGATTGTCTGTCGAGGACGATGGCGTTGACTCAGTTGGGATTTCAGTGACTGGCAATTTGATTGTACTTGGTGTGCTATTATTCTCCTTACTGGGTATAAACACTTCATCGATGGAAGGTTGACTGCTACACAATGTTGGCTGATGAGGTGTCATCGTTTGGCTTGTGGATGATGATGAAGACGACGAGGCTGATGAGGATGAAGATGACGATAAAGACGACGAGGCTGATGAGGATGAGGATGACGATCGGGAAGATATCGATGGTGATGACAGTTCGACAACGTATCCCGGCGTTCCTGGTAATGATTTATCTTCCTTCACGTTGGGGGACCTGTGATCGTCCGATATGACGGCAGCATTGGATTGCGATGGAATTTGTACGTCATCACTATGCAACAGATTTGCTTGTTCGGTTATGTTATATAGCGGTGATGATGGAGGAACACCAACCAGCGTCTGCCATTGGGTCCACCACTCAGAACTAGGATCTTCGGAAACTGTCACAAAACTACTTGCGGTCGATCTGGAGTCTTCTTCTAAATGTGCGAAAGCATGTGAGGATGAAGTAGGAACCTCCTCATGTTTGTGTGAGGTGTTGGATATTGAATGGATATCTTCGGTGTTGATCTCTTCCCCTATCGCGGGTGTGGGTGAGGGCGTACGATGATTATCCGGCGGTGGGTTGGTTATTTCATATATTGGATTTTCCCCGGAGTCGGGGACCAAAAGCTGCACAGTAACTGTTCTCTCATAACAGCGAAATCCGAGATATTTGTATTGGCTATCTTTCTGACGGACAAATCCCAGACCATACCTTTTTGGCGGAGACGAGGAACGTTGATCTTCGTTATCCGACTCATCCAGCGAGGAATTATTCGAGGATAAGGGTGACTGTGCTCGCCGAGTCACTGAGGTTTCTAAGTAACCGTAAAACATACGCCGACATTCTTCATCCATTTCGAAATTTGATTGAGATTCATCCGACTCCTCCATATTGGGCCGAGGAAGAGTTGATGCGTCATCTGAGTCACGACACCATTCTTTACCCGGTGTAGCAGGCATTTCTGAGCACCTTGAAGTGGGTGTTGAGAGCACATCGGAAGCCGGCTTAAAGCTATTTGGCGAACCAAAACACGGGGCGTAGGTTGGTGTACGCGGGACGTCACTACTAGGCTGGGTTTCCTCGTTCAAAGAGTCAGTTTCATCGATATCGTCGCTGTTGTTTTCGGTCGTGTTACACTTTTGCTGTGGAACGTCATTCGGGGTTGTGCTGCACATTCGGTAAAATATTTGGTGCTGGGGCGATGAGGATTGACTGCTACCCTTTCTTGGATTGGGCTTACGGTATTGATTTGTTCTCCTCTTTCGGCTGGTACTAGGACCTTCGTCTAAAAATATTGTCCTTCGCCTTTGAGCCTCGACTTGTTCCAGATGAGCTCGAAATTTCTCCTTCACCCGTTTGAATTTTTTCGTGTTGGGGCTATCTTGCTCCATCGTGATGTTGAAATTTTGAGAATTTCGATGGTCTTTGAAGTATGGGCTTATATTAGGACACTGATTAGTTTGGGTATTGTCAATTTAATGTCTCTTTTGATGGGGTTTCCTCTCCTATAGCCACGGTACAATGCTCCGTTGATGTGGTTGGCTTACTTAATTTGACACTTATACCGGCGCAGTGAATGGTCGTGTGGAACTGTTTTAGAAATTCCAATCCCAAGATGATGTTTTCCTTGAATTGCGGCATGATGAGAAATGTAACATCTGAGCTTTGGTTTCCAAATGTAACAGGTAACACTGTTGATCTTGTGATGTTCACCGTGGTGCCGTCTGCGAGGATAACATTTGCCTCATGCCGTGAATAAGTAAACCTTTTCTTGATTTTTTTCCGCAAATTCTCTTTTTATAAAACAGCTAGTGGCACCAGTGTCGACAGTTGCTTTAATAGCTTTCCCCTCTATTAAGACAGTTGCAGTAAGGCGATATTCTTCACATTGCAATGATGTAATATTCTGGTTACTCTTCTTTGCCGGGGGTTCATCCTGCTGCGTTTCTGGATTGGATGAGCTTTCGTTTAGCACTTGGTCACCTTGATTGGTGCAATACAGGTTATTTCTAGAGTTGTCCGCACGTCGATTATAGTTTTGTTGATTTCGAGGCTGTTCTGACCGAGAATTATTTGGTATGCTTTCGAGTTCGTCTGCCAAGGAGATCAATTCCGAAAGTGTGGTAAAGTCTTTACGGCGAATGTACCATTGATAATCCGAATGCGCGTTTCTAAAAATTCGTTCCAATTTTTGTTCTTCGGTCATATTGGTGTGCTGAATAAGATGCTGTATAGAGAGTACATATTCCTTAAACGGCTCCTTATTACGCTGTATCCTTCTCCTAATTTCATCCTCCAATTTCTCAAAGTATCTCGGTGGCAAAAAGAATTTCAGAAAATCACTCTTAAATTCGTTCCAGGTAGTCCAGTGTCGGTTGTTGTTCCTTAGCCAGATTAAAGCTTTACCTCGTAACAACTCTGGCATTACTTTAATTATTTGATTCAATTCCACGATGTACATTTCAGCCATTTCTTCTACACGTTCTACGAATCCAATAGGGTCCATTCCATTTCCAAAAGTAATATTCCATTTTCGGATTTGGTCGAGAATTACGAGTAACGACGAATTATTGGATGGCTTGGGCGGAGAATCTTTTTGAAATCCATATTCGGGGTTTGTTGGCGACATCTTCTGTACTTTTTGATCGTTTGTTACCCCTGTGCTTGACTCTCCATGTGACCTTTCCGCGGAAATGTGGGGAAGGGCGTACTCTGTTTTTATTGGGGATAATACTATTGCTTCTGCTCCACACGGTGTTACGGTTATAAGGGGTTGTTTTGTGACGGCTCGCAATGTCGGCGATTTGGTCGGACTGGTACTTTCATGTTTGTTCTGCAACTCTATAAGCCGTCTGTATACATCGGCTTCATGGTCGTTGTGGAGAAATTTAGCCCATCTTTTTCGGAGATCGTCCACTTTTCCAACTGGATCAAGATTGAATTCAGTAAGATATGTTACCAAGTCTTCTTGCTTTAGCATATAGGCCCAGGAGACCTTCAACATTGTCTTTTCGTTTGACATTTTTTTTTTTTTTTTTTTTTTTTTTTTTTATTTTTTTTTTACTTGTTTCAGTTTTTTTTTTTTTTTTTTTTTTTTTTTTTTTTTTTTCACTGGGTTTTCATCTGTATTTGTCTAATTATTGTTCACTCATTTATTTATTCTTTCTCTCTTTTATAGTCCCTGCTCGGGCGCCATTGTGACGACGTGTTTTCACTTTGAAGCTGGGGTAGGTTCAGCGGGGGCCAGAGTCGTCACAAAAATTTATTTGTTAGGACATAAAGAGAGAGAGAGAGCGAAGCAAAAATATTTTCTTAAAACGTTATAAATTTATTTCCTTAAATAACACTAAACACTACACTACACACAATAAAATCACGTTCAGAACGTTTTACGAAGAACACTAAATCACAAAGTTCAGTCGAAATGTTAATAAACGGGTAGCAGTGGTGGCAGCTTGGCACAGCGGCGGCCCGATGAATAGGCGAGCGACGAATAGAGTGGCGGCAGCTTGGCACAGCGGCGGCCCGATGAATAGGCGAGCGACGAATAGGGTGGCGGCGGATTTGGCACAGCGGCGGCCCGATGAATAGGCGAGCGACGAATAGTAGTGGCGGCAGCTTGGCACAGCGGCGGCCCGATGAATAGGCGAGCGACGAATAGGGTGGCGGCGGCTTTGGCACAGCGGCGGCCCGATGAATAGGCGAGCGGCGAATAGGGTGGCGGCAGCTTGGCACAGCGGCGGCCCGATGAATAGGCGAGCGACGAATAGGGTGGCGGCGGCTTTGGCACAGCGGCGGCCCGATGAATAGGCGAGCGACGAATAGTAGTGGCGGCAGCTTGGCACAGCGGCGGCCCGATGAATAGGCGAGCGACGAATAGGGTGGCGGCGGCTTTGGCACAGCGGCGGCCCGATGAATAGGCGAGCGGCGAATAGGGTGGCGGCAGCTTGGCACAGCGGCGGCCCGATGAATAGGCGAGCGACGAATAGGGTGGCGGCGGCGGCCCGATGAATAGGCGAGCGGCGAATAGGGTGGCGGCGGCTTTGGCACAGCGGCGGCCCGATGAATACGTCAGCGGCGAGTAGTAGTGGCGGCAGCTTGGCACAGCGGCGGCCTGATGAATACGCGCACGACGAATCGGGTGGCGGCAGCTTTGGCACAGCAGCAGCACAATGAGTACGTCAGTCGCCGTCAACGCAGCCCGAAGAATAGGGAGTATTGCTACAGCCCTCACTCGACCCTGCGTTCAGTCGCCGTCAACGCAGCCCGAAGAATAGGGAGTATTGCTACAACCCTCACTTGACCCTGCGTTCAGTCGCCGTCAACGCAGCCCGAAGAATAGGGAGTATTGCTACAACCCTCACTTGACCCTGCGTTCAGTCGCCGTCAACGCAGCCCGAAGAATAGGGAGTATTGCTACAACCCTCACTTGACCCTGCGTTCAGTCGCCGTCAACGCAGCCCGAAGAATAGGGAGTATTGCTACAACCCTCACTTGACCCTGCGTTCAGTCGCCGTCAACGCAGCCCGAAGAATAGGGAGTATTGCTACAACCCTCACTTGACCCTGCGTTCAGTCGCCGTCAACGCAGCCCGAAGAATAGGGAGTATTGCTACAACCCTCACTTGACCCTGCGTTCAGTCGCCGTCAACGCAGCCCGAAGAATAGGGAGTATTGCTACAACCCTCACTTGACCCTGCGTTCAGTCGCCGTCAACGCAGCCCGAAGAATAGGGAGTATTGCTACAACCCTCACTTGACCCTGCGTTCAGTCCAGTCACCACAAATAGTCAAGGCTTATTGTTTGGCTTACTAAGACTCAATTCAACCGAGGTTGCGCGCCTTTTCTTCCTCCCAATCACACTTGACTTACCAGCCATCAACAGAAGACTGATCCCGATTGTGTGAAATGCGTCTCCTTTTATACCTTTTTGGCTGGACAACGATTGTTGTTTTCTCATGACAGCAGCTGATCCCAATCTGACAGTTTTGCGTAGTTCCGCCATTTGCCACCAGGGGTTCCAATGTTGTATTTTAAGTATACTTCTTTCTACTAGGGGACAATAATAATGTACCCCAAAAACGAAAGCATGACTTTTGGGCGTTACAATAAGCATCCGGTTTTCTTCATATTTCACACATTCAATAATTTTTACTAAAACAAGATCTGCTGTGAAAATGGGATATATCGGTCCCCTCTTTCGGGTACCTCCAACACAATATCCATGAAGATCATAAAACGCGAAATTAACATCTGATTCTATTTCGACTTGGTACATCTCATTATTTCCACCATCGCAATATTTGTTATAAAGATGGTAGAGATCAGACCATTTCTTCTGGTACTTAAGGTTTTGAAAAACAAAAAACAAAACGCTCAAAGAGAGCGATAGAAGGATCTAACTCTCTTAAAATTTCACACATACACATATTTTTGCTAACACAAGATCTCTTGTGAAGAAGATATATATCTGCGAGCCCCTTCTGATAGCTCACCCACAAAGGGCCACAATTTTTAATACTTTTATCTGTCATAACTTGCGAAAGAAGTCAGTGATACTTTACATCTTGCTGCATCTTAATATTTCTCTCAACCAGAAACCTCAGAGGAATATGGAATTTATAATTTCGTTTCAAATTGGTTATAAATGTCCGATTTTTTAATTTTTTTTTTTGTAAATTTGCCAATTTATATTTTATCTGTATGAAAATGGAATTCTTCGATTGACTTTATCTGATGTATTTTAAACCTGGTCTGGCAATTTTTTTACAGCTTCATAAAAAAATTTTCAGTGAAAAATAAAAAAATATTTTTTTTTCAATCTTTTTAATATGAAATTAACGATTAATTTCAATAAAAACTATTTGAGAAAGTTAAGTTATTCAATTTTAATTTTACTACTTCTTCTACCTTTCATTGCGTTTACCCCATATCACAAATTATTTTCTTTCAACATCCTTTGAAAAATGTATAAAATAAAACATCAATTCCAATTCGAGTGATGTAAGCGTTTAATATTTTCAATATGCCGCTCAGCCAGACAAACAAACTAGGAATATTTAAATAACTTAGTCACATGAATAAGCAATTTTTATGACCAATAGGCAATGGCCACTAAAACGGAATGTTAACAAACAAACGAAAAATAATGAGTTTATTACAACCGGATACATTTATGCGAAGATAATGTTCTACGTGTTCGAAATACCAAAAATTATGAATTCACTTAAATATTCTTTCGCTCTGGTAAAATATATGGCCAATAATAATAATTGAAATTCTGTCGTAAGGTTAAGGGGGTATATCTTTGGGGTTAGTCAGACGTGACCATCAACTATTTATCGCCTCCCCCGACAGAAAACGGTCATCGTTGAATGTAAATATCCTAAAGA